ATATGGCATTTCAGGACATACAGTCACACAATATTCCCAGCATACATCACAGTAATTCAATTATCTCCCAGAGCAGAGGCAAATTGCCATTTTAAATACAAATCATAAAACACATAAAAATACATAACTTTATAACTGCCGAACATTTCTCATTCGTGTAACACATCCCCAGATAGCCTGGATCTGAGTGCATATTATTGGCGAATAGCGCTCAGATCCCATACTCATAGTTCAATCGCCATGGAGTCAAAGTCTATTACAGTTCTTCGGTATGCGATTGACTCCATGGGAAGGCTATCTGGGGTAAGTCCATTCGTGCCTTTAAATCTCCCGAACGGCCGGTGTTCGCACACTTCTGTCGATTGGAGAAGGGAGGTCGACGGCATCAGCAATGTTTGGTTGAAAAAGTGTCCGTTTTCAGTTCCATGAATTTATTACCGAACACCGCTGGTCTTTCGCATTGGTTTAAAATGGCCGCCGCCTCGTGGTCGACATACAAACGACGACCACCCTCTATTCAGTTTTAATTGAGAAGTGTCTGTGGTTAACCGCAACGTTCTAATTGGGATCGATAGGTTAACCAGCAGCACACTTCTCTTCTGGGTGGCCGTCAGTTTTGTTCGGTAAAAAAAGTCAATTCACTTAAATCCAGGCATACGAATGGGGGAGTTTGTGAAACAAGCAAACAGACGAATCCAGCAATCTTAGTCCATACGGATGGGTCTGTCACACGGCTCCCCCCTTGTGGAACACTCCGGCAGACCCGGCTTGACCCTTTGGCGGGACAACTTGGGGATGACCAGACTAGGAAGAAGTAGGGACGTCTGTTTGCCGGGACAACCCATCCGCATTCCCATTCTGCTTACCGGGTCGGTAGCTGATGGTGAAGTTGCAAGGCTGTAGTGCCAAACTCCACCTCAGCAGTCTGCCATTGTCTCCTGAGACCCGGTTAAGCCAGACAAGGGGATTGTGGTCCGTGATGAGGAAAAATTCTTGTCCATATAAATAAGGGCTCAGCTTCTTCAGTGCCCAGACCAGGGCTAAACACTCTTTCTCCACTGCCGCATAACTCACTTCCCGGGGTAGTAACTTTCTGCTGAGATATGCGACAGGGTGTTCTCCTCCATCTTCCCCGACCTGGCTCAGCACAGCCCCCAGTCCATACATGGAAGCATCTGTATGAACGAGAAAATGTTTGTTAGGGACTGGGGCAGCCAGGACAGGGGCATTTACAAGAGCTTGCTTCAGGGCCTGAAGCGCTGCTTCACAAGCTGGAGACCACAGGACCTGCTTAGGTAAATTTTTCTTAGTCTGGTCAGTCAAGGTACTGTAGTCGGGGACAAAACGTCAGTAATACCCTGCCGTCCCCAGGAAGGCCAGTACTTGAGTCTTGGTGATAGGTGTGGGCCAGTTAGCTACAGCTTCTACCTTGGCTGGCTCTGGTCTCTGGCTCCCACATCCTACCCTGTGACCCAAGTACTGTACTTCTGCCATGACTAGATGGCACTTGTCTGGTTTCAATGTCAGGCCCGCGGCCCAAATCTTGTCCAGAACCACCCCCACGTGTACTAAGTGTTCTTCCCAGGACTCACTGTAGACCGCAATGTCATCCAGGTATGCACATGCAAATTCCTGGAAGCCATCAAGGAGCCTATCCATCATACGCTGGAAAGTAGCCGGAGCATTCTTCATCCCAAATGGCATGACCTGGTACAGGCCAAATGGGGTGACGAATGCCGACTTAGGGATAGCATCCTCGGCCAGGGGAATTTACCAATAACCTTTACAAAGGTCGATGGTAGTCAGGTAGCGCCCCCTGGCAATGCGGTCTAATAGTTCGTCTACCCGGGGCATCGGGTAGGCATCAGTGGTGGTCCGCTCGTTGAGTCGCCTGTAGTCCACACAGAACCAGGTGGTCCCATCCTTCTTAGGCACCAGGACTACAGGGGAGGCCCAAGGGCTGTCTGAGTGCTCGATGACACCAAGCCTGGTCATCTCCTGTATCTCCTTCCGCATTCCTTCTCGGACTGCTTCAGTGATACGGTATTGGGGTTGTCGTA